CAACCACATGGATAGATTTTCTCCATGACAATCTGTCCCTAACCTGGTCCTTCAGGTCTTCAAAGCATGCACCTATTCCCACTGCAACTGAGTCCATCCCCCTTGATGCTGGTCATCCTCTTCTTCTCTTTCCATCCACCTTTCCCAGCATCAGAACCTTCTCCAGAGAGCGGGGTCTTCACACAATGTGTCCAAAGTAGGATAATCTGAGCCTGGTCACTTGAGGGAGAACCTTGGGTTGACTTGTTCATGATCCATTTGTTTATTTTACACACACACACACACATGTATATATAGAGAGAAAGAGTTTGGTGTAGTGATTAAAGGCACCAGGCTAGAAATGGGAAGACTATGACTTGTAGTGCTGCCTTAGGCACAAAGCCAGATTTAGGCTGGTCACGCTCCCTCAGCCGCAAGAAGGCAGTGGCAAACCATGTTAAAAATGTTGCCGAGAAAACCTCAGGGGCCAGGAGTCAAGACTGACTTGAGGTACAAAACCAAAACCAAAACCAAAACAACCACCCTTTAATACTAATATTTAATAAATAGAGAATCTTGGAAACTACAATAAGAATTACTCGGCCTCAGTTATACTAAGCTCATTAAGAGAGTCTCTTCAAATACTTTAAGATGCTTTTCCCCATATTTCTCCCCACCTGAACTGATAAGTGGTCAGCTAACTTTCCCTCCTGCCTTCTGATTCTTTTCCCAGCCTCCCCACAACCTGTCACATCAGGAAAGGATCCCCATTTAATCCCATAGCCCATTTCCTTCTTTTTGCCCTTTACCTTATACGTGATATTGACAAGTTGTACAGCTGAATATGCTGAATGATTTCATCCAGCAAGCGATCCGTCATGGTATCAAAGTCTGCAAATGTATCTGTCTGTAAAACGAGAATGAGGTCAGGGGAGAGTATTTCCCAATGTCGGGGGCTCTTCAGACTAGAAGAAGCAAGCTTCCAAGACAATAATTTAAAGAAATAAAAAAGGTACTATATATGCTTTGAGATTACAATTGACAGAAGAAATTTCAGGATCGTACACAGAGAAGAAGAGTAAGTCTGCCAGGGAACTGCTAAATTAAGGTGATTCAGTTCATTAAAGGAATTAATGGGGGGGGGGAATCTTCTGTGCATCTGATTTTATCAAAACTTAATTGTCAATCTAATTTGGGAAATCAATTTTATTTGGAGATTAAACTGAAAAGCAAGAAAACAAGGCCCCTGATACACAATCACCCATCCATCGGATCCTCACTCTATCCCCACACCAAGGGGAAAAGCCAGCCAGCTTTCTGAAAGACTAAAAGTGTGTGTGGGGGGGTGTCTTCCTGATCCCAGGGGGAAGAGAAAAGAGAAGACAGACTTCCTGGGTCCCATTAGATGGCAACACTTAAGGGACAGAGCCTGGACTGTACTCACTCTGTCTACCCTAGTGTAGGGAGCACATCCCTCAA